GTGAGCCCTTCACGTGGGTGAGGGACGGACTCAAAGAGAGGTTAGACCGCGCCTTGGTTTCTGAGGCGTGGGCGAAGGTGTTTGCGGTTACGACCGTCACACACCTTACTCGATTCGGGTCTGACCATTCACCCCTTCTCATCTGGTGCCGATTTTCGAGCACCCCCCGCCGCTCTTCTTTTAGGTTCCAGAACATGTGGGTTCGCCACCACTCCTTCAACGACACTGTCAGGGATTCCTGGCTTCAGCCGACTGGGCTCTTCGGGATGTGTAATCTCGAGGCGAAGCTCGGCAGACTGCGGCGTCGGTTGAGACAGTGGAACTGGGATGTTTTTGGAAACCTTCATCAGCGCCTTGCTGCGGCTCAGAGTGCGCACGCGACGGCTGAGCGGGCCTATGACCTGGATCCCACTCCGGAGAATAGGACTGCCATGCACCGCTGCCACGCCGAGTACCAGCTCCGACCCCTTATGGAGGAGGACTTCTGGAAGCAGAAGGCGGCCGTTCGCTGGGTGGCAGAGGGCGAGCGGAACACTAGGTTCTTCCAGGGCTACGTTAGGCAGAAGCGTGCTAAGTCGTACATCCATAGTATCGAGGCTGATGGGTCGTCCTTCACCCAGGAGGCTCACATTCGGGAGTCGACTGTTGCTCACTTCCAGAACCTCTTCACCTCTGACAGAGGGTCCCTCGGGGCCCCGACCGCTTCTTTCTTCCCCACCATCCCTCCTTCGGTCGATCTCATTGGCCTCTGTGAGCTCCCGAGCAGGGAGGAGGTTAGGGATGCTGTATTCGGGATTGATCCCAACAGCGTTTCTGGCCCGGATGGTTTCTCCTCCCTCTTCTATCAGGTCTGCTAAGATCTTGTCGAGACTGACGTCCAGGAGGCGATGTTAGATTTTTTCTCCGGCCACCGGATGCCGGATTCCTTCACGTCTACCTCTGTCGTCTTGATCCCCAAAAGACCCAACCCGAGCTCTTGGTCCGATTACAGGTCCATCAGCCTGTGTAACGTGACCAACAAGCTCATTTCGAAGATTCTTAACGGCCATCTTTCCCCCCTTCTCCCCTCCCTCATCTCTCCGAACCAGAGTGCATTCGTCAAGGATCGGGTCATTAGTGATAACATCCTTCTGGCCCAGGAGATGATCCACGACATCTCCCGAGCGGACTGGAAGCGGGCTCCGAATATCGCGCTGAAGCTAGACATGGCTAAGGCGTATGATAGGATTGAGTGGCCGTTTCTTAGGGAGGCGTTGGCTAGGATGGGATTCCCTGAGCGTTGGATCAGCTTTATGGAGGCGTGTGTGGAGCATTGCACGTTCTCGGTCCTGATTAATGGCAGCCCCACCGATTTCTTTCCCTCCTCTAGAGGCCTTAGACAGGGCGACCCCCTTTCCCCTTCCCTTTTCGTTCTTGCGGCGGACTACCTCTCTCGCTGCCTTGACGGCTTCATCCGCGACTCTCCTCATATGACCTATAGCACCCGTGGCTATGGTCCTACCATCTCTCACCTCTCTTATCCGGATGACATCATTATCTTTACCCGGGCGGATGATGATGGACTGGTCGAGCTTATGCGCCTTTTGGTGCACTATGGCTTGGTCACCGGTCAGCTGGTCAGTGTGCAGAAGAGCACCTTCATCCTTTCATCTGCCACCGTGGACAGATGGGCTCAGCGGGTCCACGACATTACTGGCTTTGCGCGTGGCGACCTTCCCATTACCTACCTCGGGGTCCCTTTATATAAGGGCAACCTCACGAGAGCGCTCTTTGCGGGCGTCAGGCAGAGGATGATCGACAGGATCTCTGGTTGGTCGCATAGATATCTTTCTTTCGGTGGTCGGCTAGCGCTGATCAAGAGCACTCTTAGCTCTCTTCCGATTCACTTGCTTATGGTCCTCGACCCCCCTAGGTCTACTCTTGACGAGCTTGACCAGATTATGGCTCGTTATTTCTGGGGTTATGAGGACGGGTCTGGGAGGGGGAGACGTACTCACTGGGTGAGTTGGGACTCTATCTGCCGCCCCCTCCCAGAGGGTGGCCTTGGCATCCGCCGCCTTAGGGACATTGTTACAGCTTTCTCATACAAGCTGTGGTGGCGCTTCAGGGAAGGAAAGTCGCTTTGGGCTCAGTACCTTCGCGGCAAGTACTGCCCTAGACGTGCCAACCACCCTTGTTGGGTCACGGCTGTTGATCATGATAGCAGACAGTGGCGGCGCCTCACTAGGGTCGGGAGGCGAGCCCAGGATCACATCTTTTGGGTTTTGGGCGGGGGCGATGTCAGTGTCTGGGATGAGTGGTGGGTAGGTGATAGGCCGTTGTCTAGGGATAGGCAGGTGTCGCATTCCCCCTACCTGCTCGTGAGCGACCTCTGGACGGACGGGTCGTGGGATAGGGGGAAGCTTGATAGGGAGTTGGGGGCTGGTGCGGGTTTTAGCGAGCAGTTATTAGATCAGATCCAGCAGATCCCTATCTCGGGGGACGGTTCAGATAGCATGAGGTGGAGACTTACATCATCAGGTGTGTTTTCTACTACCTCGGCTTGGGAGCAGATAAGGCTGAGGGATCGGCCTAATCTCCTCTTCGGGGCTATCTGGAGTGACCTTTTTACGCCTACTATTTCGGTATTCCTTTGGCGCCTTCTCTTGCGCCGGATACCCGTCGATACTGTGCTACACGCGAGGGGGATCTCCTTCCCCTCTCGGTGTGTGTGTTGTTCTGAGACTGGACGCCATGAGACTGAGACCTTTACCCACCTTTTTCTAGAGAGTGAGATTGTGAGGAGAGTGTGGGAGCATTTTGCCACTTGGACTCATATATCCCTACCCACCACATACAGTTTTTTTGAGCTCCTGAGTTTTTTCTCACAGAGCACACACCTTAGACACGTGGGCTTCCTCATTCCTTGTCTGATCCTTTGGTTCACCTGGACAGAAAGGAATAGTGCGAAGCATAGGGATATTACTTTTATGTTTTCTCACATTGTTTTGCAGGTTGAGAGACACATTTCACTCCTCATCTCATTGGGCAGGCTCACGGCCCGAGACTGGACAGGCTGCACGCCACCGCATCGCTACATGGTGGCCCCACCACCGCCTGTTCGGCCTCCTCGGGCCAGAGCTGTTGTTTGGCTTCGACCTGACTCTCCGTGGGTCAAGCTGAACACTGATGGCTCCTTTGATCGCCACACTGGAGTTGCCGGAGGAGGAGGCTTGATTCGGGACCATAGCGGCGCCCTCATCACCGCCTTCCACGCGTCCATTCAGGCCTCCTCGAGCTACGATGCAGAGATTCAGGCACTACAGATTGGCCTTCAGATTGCTGTCCACCTCTCTAGTCATATATGGATCGAGCTGGATGCTGCGGCTGTCGCCACCCTCCTGACTTCGGGCCATCAGGGCTCGTGGCAGATTCAGCACCCGCTTATGCGCATTAGAGATCTACTTCGGTCAGTCCATCACAGGATCACGCACATTTTCCGTGAGGGGAACAGACCGGCTGATTACCTGGCCAGCCTTGGCGCCACCATACCAGGCACACATACATTCCAGACCGACACTGCTCCACTCCGCCTTCGCACTCTTGTACGGATGGACCAGCTTGGATATCCAGCGTTCCGCTTTCACTAGTTTAGGATTTCTATTTTCATTAGTATAGACATTTATCTCGGGCATCTGTTAGCCCGAAGATCGACTTTATATTGTAGTTTTTTGTTTCTTTTTCGTTTTTCGGTTTTTTCTTTCTTGTTTTTCTTTTGGTTTTGGTTTTGATTCTCAGACTATGTAGACCTTTGTATCTGGTTCGTTGACATTATTGGGCTCCCGTTTTTGGGGCCCTGATCTATGCACAGGTTGGGGATCCAGCCCAATCCCCCGCCCTTCCGGGGCGTTGTTTGTTTAAAAAAAAAAAAAAAAAACCTAGCAACAAAAGACAACTAACCTAGCAGCAAGAAAGAAATAACCTAGCAACAAAAGACAACTAACCTAGCAGCAAGAGACAACAAAACACAACTAACCTATCAGCAAGAAAGAAATAACCTAGCAACAAAAGACAACTAACCTAGCAGCATCAGACAACTAACCTAGCAGCAAGAAAGAACTAACCTAGCAACAAAAGACAACTAACCTAGCAGCAAGAAAAAAATAACCTAGCAACAAAACTCAACTAACATAGCAGCTACAAATAACTAACCTAGCAACAACAAACAACTAACCTAGCAACAAGACACAACTAACCTAGCAAGAAAGAAATAACATAACAAAAGACAAATGGTCAACGGTCAACGTCGGAAGTCAACGCCGGAAGTCAACGGTCAACGCCGGAAGTTAACGCCGGAAGTCAACAGTCAACGCCGGAGTCAACGGTTAATGGTCATGATAATATTTAAATAATTAAAAATAAAGAATTAAATAATAAAAATAAAAAATTATTATTTAAATCAAGACCTAAATCTTGTGGCTAGGAATGAGTCTCACGTCCTCACTTTAAATAATGTGATGCATTGGAGCCAATCCCTATATATATATATATATATAGAGGGATGAGTTCCGGTGAGAATGGTTCTCAGTGAAGAAATAAGAATGAATCGTAACCGTTGGATCCGATAATCTAACGCCAAAGAAAAACACAAAAGTTTACACTGATAAAGGGCAATATGGATAATTCCCCCCAACACACCCATTGCCCGTCGGCTCCACCCAAAAAAAATAATATTCTGTACACACACCCCACATATCTCTCTCTTTCTCACCCCACCCACGACCCCCACAACCATCCACCCACCCCCACTTTCTCTCACTCTCCCGTCGCACCCACCACCTACTTCACCGCCGGGTCACGCCACGTCGCCGCCGTCCTCTGCCAACTCGACTTCGTCAAGCATCTGCTCCCCCAGAGGCTCGAGCTCCCCGGCAAAGAAACCTGCCCCAATTGCCAATTAATTTTCAATGGCCGTTTTAGGGCTCCATTGTCGACTCTCAGTTTTTTCCTTTTTCTTGTCAATGAACGAAAATCTGGAATTTCATGGCCAGACAAAACACAATCCGATCGGCGGCGGACCAGATTTCACTCGGCGTCACCGCCCACGACCTCCGATGCGTCCTCCTCACGTGCCCAGAGCTACCGACCGCCCCACCGCCTCGTTCGTGGTCCCCGCGGCCACGTACCTCCTCCACGAGGCCGTCGTCTCCGCCGCCCCCGCCTCCTCACCTACAGAGTTGACCGGAGGCTCAATGCTGGGTATGACACAGACGGCTACGCCCGCTGCAATCGATGATGTTCGGTCCTTTCAAGTAAAGTTCGAATCAACGGATGTAATCGGATCTAGAAGTCCGGCGGCGAGCCTAGCGTGTGGCATTTCATTGTGGCAGTCTACTTCGCCTTGTGGTTGTGGTTGTGAGTTTTTTCCTCCATAGATGCGTCTTCCGTGTAAGCTCTTTCTGTGTGCCATGGTGGTATTTTCGACTGGCTGGATTTTCGGAATGTTTTTGTGCTTTAGTTTAGTTGGATTTTTGTTGAATGTTGTACTTACTGAAATTTGTTTGTGCTGGTATTGGTGATAAATCTACTTGTTGAGGTCGCCCGTTTGAAGTTTGCTTCAGTACTAGCTTATTGATACGAACAGGACATTCTTGTAAGCTATTCTTCTGTGCGTGGTGGCATTTTTGACTGGTTTGATTTTGGAATAGAACATTACTTCAGTAGGTTGATTGGGATCTCATACAAGTTTAATTCAATGCAGTGATTCTGAAGAGGTTGTTCATGAGCCTGCTTTCATGAAGGTCCCCTTTGTCGCTCTCACGCTTCACTGCTTTCATGAAGGGCAAGTTAAGTTGAAAGTTGAAACCTTTTTGTTAAAAATGGTTAAATATATTGTGTTTGTGTTTGCAAACATTAATATGATTGATATCCATTCTTGATCTTGTGCGTTTTTCTTTATTAGTTGTTGGTTTGAAGGAAATTGGGTGTTCTGAACCAAGTATTAAAAATGGTCAAGTGGGATTGTACATGGAAACTTAACAGTGGCTTAAGTGGGGTTGGTTTGGAGTTAAATGTGGTTGATTTTGGTATTGTTCATATGGTTGTGTTGTCTGCAGGAAAACCAAATTGTTGTGTTGGTTGGGACTGTGACCGATGACATTCGGGTTGACGAGGTCCCTGCTATGAAGGTTACTGCCGTCATATTCACTAAGACAGCTAGGGATAGAAATGAGAAGGCCGGAGGAGAATGTTTGCCTTTGACCTGCTTGTTCTCAGGGCTCCTTTTTGATAGAACATGGTGCTATCGAGGGATTCGCGTAATGCCCGCGAAGCACTTTGGGCCAGCTCCTGGCATGCCACACAACGACCCCAAGCCATACGCGCAAACAAAGGGAAGGAAATTTGATCGGGCCAGAGGAAGGAGCAACAACCGTGGTATCAAAGTCATAGTTATTTTTAGTTTTTACGTCAAAGTTTGACTCTATGCTGAGTTTCATTATGAGATATTATATCTCTTAGTAATGACCTGCATTGTGTTTCAAATGCTGTGGAATACACTTGCTATTTTTATGGGTACCATGATAAGATTTTGGAGGGATTTTATTTAATTGGAATCACCTGAACTCAAGGTTTTGTGTAAAAAGAAAATAAAACTTCAAAAATTTCAATTTATTGCAATTTAGTTAATGTAACTAATCTATAATCTAATAAAAAATTTGATAATTTAGAAGGTCACATATTTATGTCAATGCATTATATAATGCACAATAGTTTTGGACAATGTGCACATTAGTGCACATTAGTGTTGGACAATGTGCACATTAATTCAAGTGAATTTATGCCAATGCACTATATAATGCACAATATTGTTGGGCAATGTGCACATTAGTGTTAGACAATGTGCACATTAATTCAAGTAAACTGCACATTACCTTATCGTTTTTACCTGTTTCTTAATTAGTTGACATAAGATCTAAATGCACATTCTATGTCATAATAGTGCACATTACAATTAAAATGTTGCACAATTGATTATTCAATGTTCACTATAATTGAATGAATAATTCTACTTAGTTTGTACATATAATTGAATGAATAATTCTACTTAGTTTGTACAATCAAACTCATATTTGGATTCAACCCAAGAATGCTTTTTCTTACATAGAGATATTATTTAGAAGTGCACAATTGTGACTCCAAAAATGCATAATAGTGTTTTAAAAATTGCACATTATACTGAAAATATCAAAACCGATTAACTGTTAAACTCCAAAATGTAATGATTTTTGCTCTAAAACGAAAGCCTAGCTCCAAAGGCAAATCATGAGTTTTGTTGTT